TCTCTCTCTCTCTCTCTCTCTCTCTCTCTCTCAGAGCCAGAGCAGAAACCTGCAGTTGTAAGCGCTGCACCTGTCCAGCAGGTGTCTCTGTCTACAGACGGCCTTCAGCAGCTCCTCCTGCAGCAGCAGGTCCGCCTTCACTCTCTCACACACACACACACACACACACACACAAACACACCTCACACACAGTGGCATAAATTACTGACCAGATCTCAGTGGCAATTCATCATGAAAATAAATGACAATAGTGAGTGTGTGTGTGTGTGTGTGTGTGTGTGTGTGCGTGTGCAGCTGGCTCAGGCTCAGCTCTGGGGTTTAGGGGCACCACTGGACGTGAGTTCCTTACAGAAACAGAGGAGAGACACAGAACATCACACTGGAGACACAACTGCACTACAGACCAGGATCATACAGCTGGAGGGACAGGTACACACACACACCTCTACAGACCAGTATGTACACAGTCGCACAGGTACAGGTGTATATATACACACACACACACACACACACACACACACACACAGAGCTGAGTGTTGTATATTTCTCTGTTTGTGTAACAGGTGCGGAGTCTGCAGCTGGAAAAGGATCAGCTACAGATGTTACTGGATAATGTCCAACAGAGACATAAACATGACACAGAGCTCATGGAGAACGCACACAGGTAACACACACACACACACGGCGTAATGAAGAGCACACACAGGTGAATTTTTTTACCCTGTGTATTTAAACTCAGCAGAAATGAACATTTGAATTTAAACAAACTTATAGATACTGTACTGAGCTTATGGAGAACACACACGGGTAAAACTCTCTCTCTCTCTGTCTCTGTCTATTTCTCTGCCCTCTCTTCCCCAGAGCTCGTGTGAAGCTGCTGGAGGAGTGTGCGGGGCAGCGGGAGGCGCGGGCACACATGGAGAACCAGGAGCTGACGGAGCGTTTAGAGGCGGTGATGAAGCTGGCGCAGCAGGAAAGGGCGGAGCTTCAGGAGCAGCACCAGCGCAGGCTGGCACAGAGCCAACAGGAGAGAGACCGAGAGGTGGAGAGACTCCGAGAGCTCCAGAGGTGTGTGTGTGTGTGTGTGTGTGTGTGTGTGTGTGGGTCTGGAGCTCGGAGCTTTGTGAGACATGGTATACGTAACCAGTCAGTAGTGAACTGCACTGCAAGCCCCGCCCCCTGTTCGAGACAATCCAACTGGACCCTTTTGGTACCAGTTCCGAAGGAAAAAGCAGTTTTGTAGTACTGAGCGTTCTTGTACATACCTGGAGTAAGGAGTAATGTACTTAGAGTGTGTGTGTGTGTGTGTGTGTGTATTACAGGAAGTCCATACTGGAGATGAAGAAGGATCACGAGGAGCAGGTACAGAGACTCAGGAGATTGAAGGATGAGGAGATTGATGCAGTGACCAGTGCTACCTCACAGACCAGGTACTGCCCTTTAAGCGTGCACGCACACACACACACACACACACACACACACACACACAGAGTCACTCTGTGGAAGAATTGTTTTTCTTGTGTAATTAATTTATCGAACACTGGATTTTATTGTGTGATATTGTTTTTGCCGACGTGATCTGCACGATTACATTCAAGGAAACGGACACATTTACTCACTTATTAAATATAAACTATACAACCCGGCGGCTAACTAGCGAGCTAACACAGCTAACTCTGGCTAATGTGTATTTCTGACACAGAACTGAGTGATTAATACTAGAATTATTCATTTATAACACGTTTAATTTATAACACACCACCTATTTCGCAAAACCCTTCTGTATTTAGTAATTAGGGTGGTCCTTTTAGACTGTAAGCTACACAATGACACAATGTGTGTGTGTGTGTGTGTGTGTGTGTGTGTGTAGGTCCCTGATGGTGGTTATCGAGCAGATGGAGCAGTTCTCTCTCAGGTTGGGCGATCTCTCTTCTCGTATTGAGAGCACTCATGAAAACACGACTCAGGGTCTGGAGCTCGGAGCTCGACATAGAGATGAACAACTGCGAGGTACAACACACACACACACACACACACACGAGATAAATATACAATTGAAGTACTAACCAATGTCATCACTGTTATTAGATGTAAATATGTAAGGCCACGCCCCCTACTTGCTTTCGTTTTACCTCAGAAGTCAGAACAATGTAATTTTTTTATCTCCGTGCGTTCGTTCAAGCTACAAAGCGGGGAAAAAACAATCGACACCTCCATGCTCGCCTTCTGTCAGAAACAAGCTAGCCAGCTAACTGTGATGAGTGATGTATATTTACCTCCTTGATGCTGTGAGCAGCCATGTTGATTTGACATCACTTGCTGAACTCGGGGTTGAGGAGACCGTCCCAAGTTTCTGATCAGAAATTCAGATTTAAGGGGCGTTTTCTTTGTGTTTTTTCCTTGTCAGTGTTAGTTGAATGCAGCGTATGAGCTGAGCAAGTGATTTTGCTCATAAGTACTATGTGTGTGTGTGTGTGCGTCTCAGTGCTGCAGGAGCGTCTGACTCAGCAGCAGAGGGACATGGTCGAGGAGAGAACTCGACTCAAAGAGGTCATAGCCAAGATGGACACACAGCTGGCCGAGCAGCAGAGACAGCTGCAGCAGGTCTGTCCACCGGGGAAGGAAGAGGGTGTGGGTGTCTGGGTTCCAGTTTTACAGTCATTTCATAATTACAACATCATTACTGCCGTGAATCATTACATCATTGCGTGACTACACTGACCATCAGGTGTAATACAATTAGATTAATGCACATATGATGTAATTAGATTAACAATTAGATTAATGCACATATGATAAAATGCCTACAGGGCTTCCTTGGGATGCTAAACTATCTCTGTGTGTGCATGTGTGTGTGCATGTGTGTAGGAGCGCTGGCGGGTCACAGCAGAGCAGGCTAAAGCAGAGTCAGCATTACGAGGCCTGGAGGAGGAGAGACGCACCATGACTCAACACTTCACCATAGAGAGAGAAGAGCTGGAGAGGGCCAAGGTCTCACTCTCTCTCACACACATCCACACACACACACACACACACACACACACACACAGGAAGAAAATTAAACAGAATAAAAAAGAAGGAAAATAGAAAAAAACCTTAAATATGTCAGAAACAGTGTAAATGGGAACACTGTGTGTTTGTGTGTGTGTGTGTGTGTGTGTGTGTGTGTGTGTGTGTGTGTGTCAGAGCGCTCTGTTAGAGGAGCAGCAGTCGGTGATGCAGCGCTGTGCAGAGGAAAGGAGGAAAATCGCTGCGGAGTGGACACACTTCCACGCTCAGGACAAACTGCGCAAACAAAGAGAGATGGACCGAGAGGGACACATCATCAGCATGGCACAGGTATACACACACGCACACACACACACACACACACACACACAGAGCCCCTTTTCCTGTGTGAACACTAGCTGACTTCTAGAAAATTCATATAGGAAGTAGCAGTAAAAAAAAAAAATCCTGTATGTATATTTGCCAGATGGTGTGTGTGTGTGTGTGTGTGACAGGAGCAGGCCGAGCTGAAGCTCAGAGCGGGAGAGCTGAAGCAGAGAGAAGAGGCCATACAGAAGGAGAGAGAGAACCTGGAGAAACTGCGAGGCGAGCTGGAGGGGGAGAGAGAGAGACTGAACGCAGCGGCTCTGCACCTGAAACATCGAGCTCAGGAGGTGGAGAGACTCAGCAAGGTGACGTCTCTCTCACACAAACACACACACACACAGACAGAGTGGGAGCTATGTGCCTGACTGATAATGTGATGGTGTAGCCGACATGCGAGTGTGTGTATAAATTGAGTGTAATTGTGCTAGTGTGTGTGTGTGTGTAGCTGGCGTGTGAGCGGTACGAGGAAGGCGAGCGGGCGCTGCAGGAGGCTCGGCAGGTGGAGGCGGGACATCAGGCTCGTCTACGCAACATCCACACTGAGCTGGAGCGACTGAGGACGCAGGAGCACAACCTACAGCAGGTCTGTGTGTGTGTGTGTGTGTATGTGTGTGTGTCCTGTATTCTGTACGTCTATTCTTCGGGATGTACGTAACCTAGCATTTAATTTGGAATGTCACTTTATGCAAACAGACTGTGTGTGTGTGTGTGTGTGTGTGTGCGATTACTCCTCTGTTCTGTCTCTCAGGAGAGGATGAGAATGACAGATTATCACAGAGAGATGGACAGAATAAGACACAGCCTTCCCATTGATCACATACCTGCCCCTGTTGATCCTTTACTAACAGGTACACACACACACACCACTTACCAATACAATAACCCTGCGTTCACACAACAAATGACAAGTCTCTAATGTCACTTGTAGTTTTGTTTAAAATGTATTTAAGATTGATTTACATGACACATGCTCAGCTTTGTTCAGAGATTAGCAAAGCAAGCCAACTGTACTAGCTACACACACTCAGCAGTCACACCAGCCATCTCTGCTACTCCCTTCCAAGACTGATTTTTACCTCCCAACGTCTCTGTACGCATTCAGTGAGAGGTCGTAAATGACAGGATAAGATGAAATCACAGGTGTAAGTTTAAGTGTTAAACAGTAAATGGGAACTAAAGTTATGAGCAGGGAACTGCAGAAACGGACCACACACATCAGAGGATTTCCCTGCAGGTTGTCCGGATTTGTCAATTTACCACGTTATAACTAATAGAACTGAGGAAATCTCAAGTAAGATTTGGCTTTGTTGCCGTCACTGAAATCATGGCTCCGTGTCTCTCACGTATGTAGAAACGAATAAAACAAAAATTTAATGAGCAGCAAGACCTGTGTGAGCTAACCACTCCTTACTGCTCAGCTTCACATTTTTACATTTCAGATTTCTGTTCCAAAACTAAATATATTAACCACTACAGCATTCCCCAGTAACAGCTCAATATGAGGGCCTTTAGCTCATTAACCTTAAGCAGAGGCGTTTACATTTACAGCATTTAGCAGACACCTTTATATTCATCTCACTTATACAACTGAGCAGTAGAGGATTAAGGGCCCAACAGCGGCAGCTTGGTGGTGCTGGGATTTGAACCCACAACCTTCTGATCAGAAGCCCAAAGTCTTAATCACTAAACTACCACAGGTGTAAACTAATATTTAAGAGTTTCACATGAATGATTTCCTCTGAACATGTTCTTTACAGGATTCTCTCCAGTGTTTAACAGCACGGCAGTTCTTCCTCCAGCACCGCTAAATAACAGCTCTAGATCCTTTTCTCCAAAACTACAGGCCACACTCGCTGTGCTAAAACACACAGCTGAGAAGGTATACACACACACTTTTTGTGTATAATACCTCTCGTACACATCTTTGCTGATGAACTAAAACACGTCTCTAATTCAGGACCGGGACTTCCTGCAGGATGAACAGATCTTCCTGGACACACTGAAACGCACACCATGCAACTCAACCTTACAGACATGACGAAAGTTTAAACTGGTGCCATTTTTATTTAAAAGTTTCTACACGTTTTAATAAAAGTCTAATCTTTTTAACCCTTCAGCCTCACAGTGTTGTTCATTTCAATTCACAGTAAAGCACTGAATGATAAAATTGAAATATGAAGGTCATTCTAATGCTGGAGAAATCAAATACTTTAATAAGGGTGAAAAATATTCAGCTTTGAAACAAGACACTTCAGGCAGCTTTTGATTAATAGCTTTATTTATACAGCCTTCATACATTACAATGAAATAAGCAATAATAGCAGTCACATGACTGAGTGACCATTCTTCCTTTCACAATTGCACGTTCTTTTCCATCAAGGACATCACTGAATCTTCATCCTCCATCCCCTGAAACAAAAAATAAATCCGTTAGTGTTCGGCCCTGAACTCGTACACAGTGTAGCGAGTGTGAAGACAAGCCTCAGGTTACCACGTCTCCACATGATCATTTCAGACAGGGATAACTTTTCTATCATCACAGGCTTGCTCGCACGCTTTCTCCACACCAACACTCCCGCTAAACGTTCAACGACTGCTTAGCAACTGTCGCCAAGCAACCACCCAAACCAAGAACAGGTTTTTCTAATCAATATACAACTAATCCAAATCTGTTCTATTCATTTAGATTTCATCCTCTGTTTAATTGCTAATCTGCTCAGGAGTTTATACTGTTTATAGCTGCTATAACGCAAGTGGGAACAGGAACTAAACCTGTTTAACCATCTACAACATTAAATGTAAATATAAACAGATATGTTGTGTCACTTTAATAACTAAAAATTGTAATCAGTCAAATTGCTGTGGTACAAGAGGAATAAAACTTCAGGATGTGCTACTAGGAGAAAAAAAAAGGATCAACCTCTGATTAGTAACAACTTTTATTGATCCACCTTATCATTGATTATTTTCCTATAACAGCACAACACTGAGCATTTTATTCCTTGACTTAGCCACTTGTATATGCCAGTGCAGTAAGGTTGTGTCCATGATGCACATTAGAGATTAGAAATAGACAACTAAGGCTGAGAAGTTTGTGTTATATGAACTTACTACAGTGAGCGCCTGGGAAACATTACTCGTACTTTTTTTTTTTCTTAAAAAAGGCAGGAGTGTTGCAGCAGGAAAAACACTGAAAATTCTTAACAATTGTGCACCATCACTTTAGTTTGTTTCGATATAAAACAAAAGTAAACTTTTACCTAGTCTGGGATTAATCCGAGGTTGATCCGGTCCAGTCACAGCCTGTAAGCGGTGACCTGCAGAGAGAACAGCGTTCAGAGACATTGCACAGAAACCAGCGAGGAGAGAAAACCTTCAGCTTCCTCCTCAGAACAGTGTAGCTTTTAACCATCGTCAGTTATCGCATCAGACGGCACTTCCTATGTAGCATTTTCATCTCAGGAATACCACACGCAGCAATTTATACGGCTACATTCACAGCACGTTGAGAACAACGTACCTGCTGGAGCTGATGTTCAAGCTGGATTTTCCTTCCAGGATTCATTCATAGTGAAGATCACACAATCCACGTCCCTAATAACACAACACCAAGATTAAGATTCCTGCGAATAAGTTTCTACAAAGTGTCGGATAACAGATCAACAACATATGATCATATTAAGCCAGAAAAATGGAGTTTGGATTATTTTGCTTTGCACAAAACAGGGCCTCCCAAAGGTCTCCATAGAGAGGGGAAATTAACACTTTAGAAATTAAGTATGAAAGATTTTGCTATTATAAATATTTTTTCCAGATAGTCTTTAAGAACGCCTTTGACAAAAGAACATTGAAATCATTCTCATGTCTGGGAAGATCAGGAAGCTGATGGACTTGAACAGGAAACATGGCGAGCACATCACACACACACAGACTACATTTACATGCACATCAAAATCTCTTTACGGTCTATATTCAGGATGCAGCCATATTCCGAATACGATGTTTATATGCGTACAGGAGTCAGAATATTCCTGTTTACATGGTGTTTGTAAGTGTACCAGAGTTGCCATTCCTAAATACCGAGCCTACAGCTAAGCGTCTTAGCACCCACAATTCCTTACGGACTGAATATGTGCATATATCTCCTTTCAGTGGATTTTCTGAATAAGGTGTTTACATGCAACAAGTTTCCGATTAAAATGGGCATATTCCAGGGATGGGAATCAGAATATTGTCTTAATCTGAATCAGGCGATCAGATTGTGATGTTTACGTGCATGACTATACTAATAAGTCAAATTCTGATTAATATCAGAATATTGATGTGCATGTAAATGCAGCCAATGTGGCCAAATTTATTAAATCCAAAAAGACTGGAAGTGTTGCAGAATTCCACTGACAAAGGCACAACCCACGTGGTGCTGGCAAACACAGTCCCCTGGGTATGTATGAAGACTTAAGACACAATGTGGATAAATCTTAATTAATCTGAATCAGAGAATTACACTGCACCATAGTTACACACTCCATTGTTTACATTTACAACATGAACATGTACTTTTTTTTAAAAATTGTAATCATAATGTGACCTTTGACCCTTTCCGGTGACATTTCGCTGCCTTATTAAATATTTTCTGCATGTTTATACTCTATAATAAGCTTTAATTCCTCGCACGTGCAGCTGAGTGAAATCTCTTACTGAGGCTTTAATCAGCGTGAACATGACGTCACGCGCCACGTGCTCGCTCGCGCACTTCTTTTAGAACAAGTTTCCAAACCTTTAAAATCTTCTAAATACTCGAAACATGATGCGTGTACAAGAAACTAAAATTATTTATTTATTTATTTTTTCAAAAAGAAAGCGAAATAAAGAGCGCGCGCTTCGACATGGTTCACGCGAGCTAGCAAACACTGACTAGCCTAGCTAAGATTTTTAAGAGTTTTTTTGTGGTAGATTTCCCAAATTTAAGCCAGAATGTTGTGAAAGTATTATTTCTTTCTCTGGCTGAAAATAAAAAAGTGGGGAAAAAACCCAAATACAACACAAACACTCGGTATTTTAAAATAAATTGATAGCAAAAGCAGATTAGCCCGCTAGCTAGCGATTACCAAAAAAAAAAAAATCAGTCTAATTACATTTAGAAATACTTACATTCGATCAAGGCGGTTTTAGAGTGCCCATATTTAAACTTCCAGCATTAAACATTTTATTTCTGAGCGTTAGAAAGGCAAACATCCTCCTTCCAGCTCAATAACACGCGGAAAAGAGACCAGAAAAGCGGAGGCTGCCGGTATTTATACCGCATGTGACGTATAAACCCACGTGACTTCGGACCAATGGGATGCGCCGGTCTACTCTCTGCTTTATAGGCGTTTACAATGAACTGAAATCAGTTCCTAATAATAATAATAATAATAATAATAATAAAGATGGTCTGTAATTATAATTCGAACCCCTCAATCAAAGAAAAACATTCAGCCAATGCATTAACTATTTCATCATATAACAAGTGGAAAAAACATAAAACAAGATCGGTCAGGTCTCCTCTTTCATTCTAGGTGGACAGTAAAAAAAAAAAAAAATATATATATATATATATATATATATAATTAGTTATAATAATAATTAGTACATAAATGCTGCAGCTCTTTAAACCAGATGTGCCGCTAGATCTATCTATCTATCTATCTGTCTATCTGTCTTTATCTATCTATCTATCTATCTATCTATCTATCTGTCTATCTGTCTGTCTGTCTTTATCTATCTATCTATCTATCTATCTATCTATCTATCTATATGTCTGTCTGTCTGTCTGTCTGTCTGGATATCTATCCTCCTCCTTCTCTCTCTCTTGCGTGTGTGTGTGCGAGAGTGTGTGTGTGTGTGTGTGTGTGTGTGTGTGTGTGTGTGTGTGTGTGTGTGTGTGTGTGTGTGTGTGTGTGTGTGTGTGTGTGTGAGTGTGTGTGAGTGAGTGTGTGTGTGTGTGTGAGTGTGTGTGTGTGTGGTATCTCGGTGTCGTCACTAGGGAGAGATCTTTCAGCGGAACTAAATCCAGCTGTTAAACTCCAGCAGTCCCGCAGCCGCCTCTGGTCTCTGCACGCGCGCTGTTTTCTCACCTGCACCGTCCCATCGGATCCGGTCTCACGTCCCGCGGTTTCCGGTGCAGAGCCGGAAACTTCCTCCGGTCGGGATGGACGGAGCTGAGGAGCTGCGCGCGGAGTTCACCGACGCCGCGACCGGGAGACTCAGATTCTCCGTGACCTTAACGGACAGCTGCCTCTCGGTGCGCAAGATCAGCGGGTCGCCCGTGTGGCAGCACGGACACGAGCACGCGCTCGAGCTCGGCCTCGGTGACTGCGTGGGATGCCGCGCGTGCCGGAGTGAGGACGAGGCGGACACGGCGGCGTATCTCTCCGCTTATTTCTACCCGGCGCGGCGCAGTTGGACCGGAGCTCCCGCCGGCCGCCAAAGGGTGGAGCACCGATTCCGGGTCCTCACCGGGGAGGACGCTCGAGCCAACCTGGAGGAGGCGGAGAGGTGGGCGCGCGCTGTCAGACACCGCGCATCACAGCGCGTGCAGGGTCTCAGAGACGGTGAGGAAAAGTTTCATAAAAAAGTTGCACATTTTTCTTTCTTTTTTTCTTCTTCTTCTTTTTTTTACTCAGGAATTTAACTCAGCAAATCGGCCCTACAACA